GAGATATCGCTCATCTGTCGTATCGCTAGTCGCTATGTTTCCCTGTTTCCGTCTGTTGTTACCTTTCATCTCAATTTTGTCTCTAACCACACCATGTATTGCATCGCCTGTGACTCCTGCTCTTTTTCAGCTCGTACGCAGCTCTTCACCCACCTTATTGGTATGTGTCTTTAGGTCCAAGAAATGGCTCTCTCTCTGTATATGAACAAACTGTTTTATTGTTTGCTGGAACACATTTGGCTTCTGACACTTACATTGTAAAAAATGTAGCCTGCATTTTAGTTGTTGTCGCCGTTCTAGTTCCCCTTTTTCTTATCTAACGGTCCACTTCGCACTTCATTTTCACATTCGAGCGAAGTTGCCACACCAATTTGATGGTGTAGTGTACCTTTAGGGTAACTCACAATGAAGATGCAATGAGGTTCACAAGAACTTCTGTAACTTAAAGGCGGAATTTACACTGAAAAGGCAATCCATTCCTAATGAACTTAATAATGGTCTGTGACACAAGAAAGAAGGAAAAACCATGAATGGCCCGGGACCAGAGAAATGGGACCTATTCCTTGCCCGTTGACTTCCGCACTGATGCGACTTTCATTGTGCCCTCTTCAACGCTAACGCTCTCTCTCCGCTATGTCGGTGGGCGTACCGCGCCAACCGCGCCAAGACTGAGCCATGCTGGTGCGCCAAGGTCAAATCTTTCGCTGTAAATTGCGCGTTGGTCCGCACCATCAGAAGGTCCATCTGTCTCCTAACTAGGAAATTTCCTCTGGCTCTTATCGTGGAATCCTCCTTTGAAGGGAAAGCGATAGTACTGGCGTCCAGGCGGAGCTGAGTTCCACGCCTCCTCGCCGCCGAAGGACTCAAGATAAGAGCTGAGATAGGGAATAGTTGGACGAGCCCTACCCTAAGAAAGATGATACGGTGGGATATGGCGGCTGGTATGAGGCTTACTCTAGAACCACCTCCTTTAAGGCAACAACTGCAGTCAAAATTGGTAGGGTAACAGGCAACAGGTAACTGGTAATGATAGGATGGAAGAGACGCGTCAGTCTAGATGAGTTTTTTGAACGCAACCGCATCATTCGATGGGGATACCGTATCTGCCGACTACTTCTTAATCCACGTTGCTTGAGGGCGAGGTGTCTCATCCCTGGGGTTGTTGCTCACAGTGCTCAACCACTTCCTTCAAGTGCTGCTTCATGGGCATGATGAACGCTGACAGCTCCTGAGAGTATTTCCTCTCACTCATCAAGATTCATCTCCCTTTCGGGCTTACTTTAGCTGGAATGACAGTTTCGTTTACAATTTCTGCATTGCATGTGCTCTACTAAGCCTTGCTCAGCATCCATTTCGGCATAGTCTCAGATTCCTCACAATTTCCGGTCAAGAAAGGCACTAATTTAGAGGGAGCTTATGCATTCCTTATTTCAAGGGAGCTCAGTTGCTACTCAGATGGATCCCACATATGGATTCAAGATCTCTCAGCTTCCATGCCCTCTTACAGGCATCGGAAATTTTTTCTGATTGATTCGTGACGATGTTTGGCAATGGGCGGGTGCTTCAAGAGCGGGCGCGGAAAGGGGGCTGAACCTCCAATGCCCACTGTTTATTCAGTGTCACCACGCAGCGGCTAACACCTGGTGTTCTTCGAAGAGCTTCAGTTAGGCACAGTCTGACCCATTTCACTTATTCAGAACCATATATATATATGTAATATTTACCAGCGGTGGGTAAAAGGTAAACGCCGCTGTTAACGGATCCGTTCCCGTCCGCTTCACCATCAATTGCAACCTTCACTACAAGCTGATTATGAAATAATTATGCAGGAGGAGTGGTACCACTTAACTCAGACATCATCCAAAGCCGCTGGCTGTTGCTCTACAGATTCGTACCCAAATTCCCTCACGATACTGGGATGGAAGTCAAATGCATGGCGCATCCTAGATAAGTCGATGAACCTAAGCACCTTGTCACTCACACTTGTTAGCACATTCCAGCTCTTTCGGCCCCAACCTCACTGAAGAAATGAACCGTCTCTCAGTGCATCCAAATATTTTCAAGACAGGCGGGGTTGCTCACAGATGACTCGCTTTGCAGCTTTGGGAGAGGGGAGGGGGGAGGTGGCGTAATTGATGATCAACCCAGTGATTTTACTTATTCATATAATATCTACGATCAATTGTATTTTCAGAGATAACTCGGAAACCCTAGTATTGCGCATATAGCATAAAACCGCATTCCGACTTCGGTCCATCTTAATGTTATCGTTGGTTGTCGCCCTTTCACAACGTTAATATTTGTTGGAGTTCGATCAAGCACAAACATCTATTGAGGTGAAATTTTTCGGTCATTACATTCATATTTTAACACTTCATTTGATGACTCCTAATTTCAGCGATGATGCCGGCCTTCAGACTGGTTCTCGGCGATCCAATTTCTACAAAAAGCCCACCTGGTATTCTTTCTGCAAGCCGAGAGTTGGCCTGCCATAGGGATTGCCTATCAACACGAGGCTGCAACATGCCTGATAGTAATTAACGAATGGCGTAATAGCAGATATAAACACGCTGCGAGGTGAAAACGAAGACCAGTGCGCACGCTTATAGCTGAAAAAGAGCAGTGAAGACAGGCTTCGATTATGAACACAGTCAGGGAGGACCGCATCACATTTTGCTGGGTATCAACACGCGACCCCGGGCGTCGTACATGAACTTAGCGCGCCTTGGTGCAGCCGTGATGCCGGATAACGCGAAAGTTATGCGTTTCTTATTTTGAAGATAATTTGGTAGAGGTGATTGCCGCCAAATCATGATCTGGAATTAAACTCCCTTTCATTTTCAGGAGAAAAACAGAGAGATCACCGGTCTGCACAACTTGGTTGCGATTCTACACACTTGAGAAGAACGCAACCGAAAATTTCGATTACAAAGGATTTGTAATCAAGCGTGGGGTGAGGCTTTCCATAGAGCTTGCAAAATGTAAAGCTGAGATGTCAGTCCGATTCATATCCGGCTTTGCCCTCCTAGTGGTGAAACACGGCGACTTAGAGGTGTCCACACTTTCTCCCCTTGGCGCAACGATCTAATCAATGCGCATGTTTTGCAAGATGGTGCCTTACAGATGGTACTGCATGTGGTACTTCTTTACTCGGAACTGGCGCCAGCCCAGAATGATAAATATTTCCATGGTATTTAGAATGATATTTTCCATAATAATTTGAAATTTACTGTATTATAGAACGTTATGGCTTCGGTGAAATTCACCTGGAAAGGTGACCTGAAACGATCCGGATCGATCCTGCTTGGCACGTCGCCAGAATATGACATGGCGCTGTACACATTGTGTTTCCTGTCGAGGCGCGGACGTGATCAGTGTGAAGTATGTTTCTGTTGTGAAGCTGTTTGATTAGGTATACGTTGAATCTTTCAGGTTGAAATAGACGGATGCCCTTTAGCAATCACCAGCTTTGATATTGTCCAGAACAACAAGGTTTTTCCGTTTTTTTTTTCTAGTTTCTGGTCCTCTGTTGCACAAATCCTCCTCTTCAAGGTGTTCATCGGATCGATCTTCCCAACGGCAGGACCACTCACAGAACAGTGTCGTCGTCTCAGTGGACGAGTTTAGACAGCAAGATGTTTTTGACGTTTTTGATTAAACAATTTTCCTGCCTTGTAATTCTTTTATCGTTTATACGTGGTTGCGGGAATGAGATTGCCATGTCCACGGCTGAAGGCAGGGACACCTAGCCTCATGGAAACTTACTCAAATCAACAACCTCGGGCTAAATTGGTAGGGTAACATCGATCGGTAATGAAAGTAAGAATGTCTAGTTGACTGGAGACGAAAAAAATAAAGAGTACCGTCAGTGAAGCCTTTAAAGGAAACCTTCCCGGAAAACTCTTTCCTTTCTTTCTCAATATAAATTGATCCGTTATGATGAGCACAAGAGACAACATACGAAATTTCACACACCAGAAGTTCAATTTCCAAAGATAAACTTACGAATATCACACAAACCACTATGGACATTCGAAGGTAGATTGCACGGCGCCGAAGGCGGGACATGGAAAGAAGCGCGCCGTGTTTCGGCCTCGTATCAGGAGACGCCGAAGAAGATCGGGACAAAGCGCTCGATTTCGAATAGGACAAACGATCGATAGAATAGGATGGAGTAGAAGTGTGAGATGTTAGTGCAATAAGTCAAAAGGTCAGAAAGAGTTTCTAGTGACAGGCTCCGTGAACCAAGTGGAAGCGTTCCTACCGCCAGCATTTGTGACAGATGTCCGGCGGAAATTTGAACGCGTAGCACCCTTCCGGTTTTTCGATTGTTTACCAAAACAAATGCATTTCTTTAGTTTTCGTTCTTATCGTGAACGATGGGTCTCAAGCCAGAGATTTATGGGTGAGATAGAATCATGATTTTTCCGGGAAGGGTTTCTTTACCACAGAGCTTGTTTCCTCATGAAATGAGGAAGGAGCGCCTCTGGAAGTGTTTTCTGGACTTGCTTGCTCCATGGCTCCACTAGCCTATGCGTATCTGAAGTACGTCATAATCCACGATGGCTTTCTTAGTGGGAGTGAGCGAGGAGTCCCATTTATTAGCTCATGATATAATAGTTCTCGGTAGTTTACTTGCTCGGAGGGGGGACCCCTGCTTCTGAGCTGGCGATGTGATGGTTATGTTTGCGTATCATTATCAGTAGGCAACTGTTTTGTATGACACCGTCAAGAGGGTCATAAGGTCCGGAACCACATCCGACCATTGGGCTTTTGATTGAGGTCTGCTTCGACCTCTAAGATCATCCTCTGGCTAGAGTAGGTGTTGGGTTGGAACCAAAGAAGAGCAGTGTTTTATTTAGTTATTTGGATTCTTATCCAAGAAGGAAAAAGTGCTGTGTTTAATTAAAGTATTTGAATTCTTTCCAAAAGGAAAAGAATTCAGTAGCATTCTAAGTTCATTGAAATCAATATCAAAGATTTTAATGAAAAATTGGTGCCATACATTGTCTTTACACAAGTAATACAGGGGTGGCCAAAAAAAGAGACACTTCACTCCACATTTCAGACAGCATTAATCACACTTTGCTAAATCAAATCGACTGCCCCAACTCAGTATTAAAGAGCACATTCTAATCTATCTAAAGTTACATGACAGCCTTCTACACCGACGACATCAGAAGATTTTCCCACGGAAACATGGTTCACGGTACGAGCTCAACGAGGTCGTCGAGGTACCATAGACCATTACGACGTCCCTGAAACGCTGGTCAAAAGCGGTTTTGCATAGTCACAGCTAGTGTCTCTGGGAAGCTATTCACAGTTAATCCATTGAAGAAATTATGTAGCAGCTTCAGGCCGGAGCGATTACGGTAAGCCTCGTTGAGCTCGACGGTGGCGGCAGATGACGTCATATTCTGAAGACGGCGGGGGCAGTGAAGGAGGGCCTGCTTCTGTTTACGGGGGAACACCTAAGGAATATTCCGCCGTAAAACTTTCATTAACATCGGCTCCCTGTGCGACGAAAAGTTCGATGATGTGCGCCATGGGCAAAGTGTCTTTTTTTTGGCCACCCCTGTACAGGAGGGGTGGGGGTCGTATCGAATCGCCTGTGAAGTGGGGGGAGAGGTCGTAAAAATTTCAAAAAAATACCAGCGGTAGGGTTGACCATGGTCGTAGGTCGATAGGATTCTCAAAACATGTACAATTTCTGTCACTGTTCAATATCCAAAAAGTGGACATACTGACTACTGACTGCACAGACAGCAAATACAGGGCTCCCTTTCTAAACTCCACCGTTGCCGTAGGGACGGAACTAATTCCATGAAGTTCAAAAAGCATGTGTTGAGGGTTGGGTACAATTCTACTTCGCTGCGGATAGATGACGGTAGAGCTCACCTCCTTACAATAAGCGGAGTGATATATGCAACGGAAAAGCCGAAGAGCAGTGAAGTAACAGCAGACAAGCAGTGTGAGAAGTGCTCACATCAATGAACACGCGAAATGAACGTTATATTCTTCTTCATTCTTCTTCCCTGGGACTTTGAAACAACTCCAGCTTGCATTCTACATCTCAAACTTGGGATCAACTGTCCTCCCGTGCAGGGTGAATATCCTCGACCATAGCTCTCTACCATGCGAGAGTAGTGCCGAGAGTGAACATCCGCGCGGAGAGCACAGACGGCACGCGCATGGCGAGTGTGAATGTCCGCGCGAGAGATCGTCTCTGATCGGGCAGAGAATCCTCGACGTGCCGTTGAGGAATCCTCAAGCGATATTCACCCTGCTCCCGTGCAGCCCAGAGTTAGGGCATAGAGGCGAATCGTAATATCGAAACAGTGGAAAAGAAAAATGATTTACCTTGATTTGATTTTGGGCTTAGATGCCAGAGCCCGCGCAAATACCTTTCCGTTCAGGCCCGTTCCCGACCCGGCACTCCAAGTCCCTTTGAAAGGACGCTCCTTTTATGTTGTTTTCTTTCGCCTTCTCACAAGCTTTTATCGACACTGAAGCATCGCGATATTCTGCCGCAGCCGTCGTCGTCGAGGCCTCAAGTCTGATGTACGTTTGGGATAAATTGAAAGCAAGAGCAAGATTGGCGCATAAAGGAGATATGATTTTATTCACTCAAGAATGTCCTGCTTAGCGCTTTGCAGCATTTCCAATTCCGACAAGGATTGCCAGTGTTGCCCGAGCGCATTATTAAGCCGCATCCGGATATCGTCAGTAGAAAACTGCACAGCAGTGGAAGAGTATACGTAGTACCTTCAAATGTAAAAAAGCACTCTGTAGTGTAGTATTTCTCTAGACAGCGGTCACATCTTCCTTTCTCGGTCAAATCTGGCGCTCTGTCGACCGTTATCTTACGGCACACTAATCTAGAAACAGTGAATTCGATTTGTCGTCGCAAAATACGCCGCGGCCATTGAACTTTATCCTCGTCTCGAGGCTCCATATATAGAGCTTGGAGATGCATGTTGCTCCTCTCTTCTAACTATATGATATCAACTCTTCCTATATGCCGAACTGCTCTTCTTTTTAGACTTATGTTCGTCGTTGATCCTGTGCGCAGCGATTCACTGTCCTCATCTTTTCGACTGACCACTATGACTGGATTATGACTGGCTTTCCTCTCTTCATATCCCTCCCGTTTATCGGCTTCAGCTTCATCGTCCGTTTTGAATTCCAAAATGGCATTTAAGAAATTATCCACGATTATGTCCTTTCCTTTTGTTCCATGGAGGAGATTCTCATCGAAATGCTTGCCTCCGCATCTGAAGGAACGCCTTCTACGCGCGTGCATTCAGATCCTGTACGATAAGTACGGAAATTTGCGGCACTGCGCGCTAAAGTGGTGCTGAAGACCGAAGGAGCAACGCGTTGAGACATTTGGGGGAGTTCTAAACTCGTCCCTAAGCTCACCAGTTGACTTGTATACTTCCGTACGAAGTGGTCGCCGTAGCGTGTAAGCATGGGGGTAAAACGCGGAAGGAGATACACACGTAAGGGAGGTGACTGAAAATGGCGAACGCTACGTCCGTATACTTGCTTTCTACGTGAAAAGTAGTTGCGTGTGATGTACGCCGGTGATGGTAACGAGCTTGCGTGGCTGCGGTGGCAGTAACGTTCGCGATTACGTGTTCTACAACAGTAACAATGCATCTGATAGCAGTGACGGTGCCTACGTACAGACATGAAGACCCAATAAGCAAAAATTACGTCACGCGAACGTAGCGATGGCGCTGCGGTGGACTTTTGCTACGTGGCGAATGCTGAGCGTACGCAGAATGATGCTGCTGTGGCGATGGTTGCCTATGAACGAGCCCGATACTATGTGGATAATAGCTACGCGGTGCTATTGGTTCGCTGCTCTCCTCTCGGAATAAATCGCGGTAGTCTATCTGCGCTGAAGAGTCATGCGTAGGCGAACAACACGGCGTCGAGCTGGCTGCGGTGGAGCTTCAGCCGCAAGTGTTGATGAAGCTGCGGCGCCCGTAGTTCCGCGTAGTGGATGTTCTTGCATCTCATGTAATTCTAAGGTACGAAACGCTATGTAGAATCCGCATTCATGTGCTACGCGTACGTGTAGCCTGCGCTGAGGCTGCCTGGGTGTTATTGCCCCTGTCACTTGACTGCTGCTGGTGTTGTTAACTTCTTTTGCCATCATGCGTGATTGATTTCACTGTTGAGACGGGTGGGCCTCAGTACGCAAATTAAGCTGAAAGTGGAGAGCGTACGATTACGCTTGCGCTATTGCTATCAGGACGGAACAAAAAACGGACGCATGTGGATGTTATACGCGTATTATGATAAATTAGGATAGAAATAGAAGCCTATTGATAAATGTTATGAAAGAAATCACTTAAAATGCCCTTTAAGTGCCTGAGAATGGCACTTAAATGTATCCCGTCATGGACTACGGTCTCTTGTGTAGGAATAGTTGAGACATCTGACGGAGAATTGGATGACATCTCAAAATAGTAAGGAATTGGGAAGATTTATGGTTTTAGAGGGGCAATTAAAGAGAATGAATTATGAAAGGTTAACTACCTTTTTGGTGTATGATGAAACGATAGGATAACTGTCCTATATGGATGACGAAACGATAGGATGACTGTCCTATATCG